CACATTATAACGCCCCCACGGCTGAAAGGGCGATCATGTTTGGTGGGACGGGGATTCGAACCCACGACCCTCAGATTGCGAGTCGAGTGCCTTATCCACCTGGCCATGCCGGGCCAGTTTGTTAAATAAGAAACATATGTCATAAGAAAATCTGACCACTGTGCATGAACATTTTTAAGTATAGAAAAAATAATTATTGCAGTTTGCCTAATAGGTCTCATAAATAGATATGTTACTGCTGCTTCCAGTTGTAACCAAAAAAAGTGTTCCCCAATTATTTCTAGTTTAACTTACCCCCCTTTTAAAAAAACATTACACATTTCCAGAGCTTTATGTGGCTTATCCCTTTAGTCTAACTTGACTCTTGTTACACATGTAAGATTATTTTATCAGATATCACTATGTGTTGTTTTTATTAAAATTTTGGACACCACAACTCTTGAATTTAATAAACATTTGTTATTCTTTCTACACACCGATAAATACACACACACACACACACACACACACACAATATATATACACATACTGTACCTGAAACAAAGCAGTTAGATGAATATAAAAATTTCCCCAATATTTTTTGGGTTTAACTTATTTTTATATTACATCTTTACAGTGTTTGCCTTTTTATATAACTTCGCTCTTTTTTATATTACATTTTTATATGACTGACTCCTATATTATGACTTGACTATCTTTTTTCGTGCATGTAAAATGGTTTGATTAGATAACTTATACAATAAGATGTTTTTTGTTACAGAATTCTTTTAATACCCAGCACGACGCTATTAAATGGAATATATATATAAATATATGTTTTGTTTAGCTGAATTCATTACGCCAGATTTTTTCAGTCTGTTTATTTCTTTTTAGGAAAATGTTCTGAGAGAGAAAACTACTAAACTTCCTACATGTGTATGTTGCACGTGTAATTTTTCCAAAAATGGTGACCACTCAAAACCACTTCAACAGAGTTTAGATCGAAATCTCAAGATTCAATTTTGTGACTGCCAAAGAATGCTATTATGGACAGGAAACCTGGTTCCTTTCTGGAGAAGTAACTCACTGGAAAATTGGAGCAGTTCTGCAGGTTTTGTTACACATGAGTGTGAATCCAAAGATAAAACAAGACTAGGTCCTGTGTGTACTGAACCCACGAAGAGATCAACTGAAGTACTCTTTTTGAACGGAAAACAAAGGCACGTCCTTTTGAATTCTGATTTACGAGAGTTTCAAAGCAATGAATCAAAGCCTTCTGAAACAGAAGATGGTAAAAGTTCGGTAGAAACAGCAAACGTTTTGACTTCAGCCAAGGGAAGTTTGCATCTTTTTGACGCTTCTATCAATTACGTAAATTTTCAGAAACCTCGAAGTTATAAAAGAGATGAAAAATGCAAACTCATTGACGATTTTTCAAATTATGCTAACTTGAAATGTTTAGAGCCTTGTCTCGATAATCCAACATTTAGTTTGCGTAGTGACAATGGACCTGTCGCAGTCCATCCTCATGGCTTGTCTCGGAACAACATTGAACAAGTAATTTCGGATCGTTCTCATAAAGAATATGAAGATATTTCAGACTTAAATACTGGCATTGAATCTCAAAAAATTATCTCCTCTTCGGTGCGTGATAAAGAAAGTGTTTACGAAATGATGTCATGTCAAAACGAAACACCCCACTCTTTTAACTCGTCCAATGACAATTATTTGCCAATGGAACCTGCAGATTCGTGGAAGTCATTAGTTTCAATTCCTTCATTATCAAATTTTGATCTCGTCAGTGATAAATCTGTCTTCATTAACTCTTCCGAGACGTCACAAAATATAGACGAAAACTTGCTTCTGAAACCTTTTCTGCCCTTTATTTTACCCAGTAAGGATTATGACTCAGCCCAGGAAATTGATTCCACTTCCAAATCGTACTCACGTGCACAGAAAAGTGAATTTTATAATCCAGTAAGCCAAAAAGATGTTTTTTCAACAGAAATCCCATCTCGGACTAATCGTTCAAACTCATTAGGTAACTTAAAGAAGAAAGTATTCATGAGGACTAGATCTAAATCCATTGGAGGAAGACAAAATCATGGTGATTCGTCACAACATTTTGAAACTTCTGAGTCTATTTATAGAAAGAAGTACTCTTTCTTCACTAAACTGGCTTTAAGAAATAAGAGGAAGTTATTTAGAACTGATGATTTCTCATCTTCATCGTCAGTTCCTACTTCTCCAAATGCCCATTCTCTAAACAGCATTAGTAGATCAGCAGGCTGTCTAATAGATGACGAAGATCCCTTAATGTCGGAGTATGACTTCAGTGGACTTCCTCGTCCTAGTCAGAAAATGTCTCTTAGAGACGGTTGCAGCCAGCCAAGTATCGTTAAAAGATCTCGCAGTGTTCCATTCAAGTCCAAGAGTAATGAATGCTGGGTAAAAGCTTCAGTTTCTCATAGAACGGCGTGTACACTCCGTGAAGGAGTTCTTCCATCTAGTAACGTTGTAGATTCCATTTGCATTCATGGATCGCTTCCTAGAACGCAACATGAAGACAAGAGTGTTTCAGCACAGAAGGTTCTTTCTGTCCAGACAGAAATAGAAAAATGTGGGAAACGCGCTTCTACGCAAGAGATCTCATCAGAAAGTAATAGATGTTTAGGAACAGCAGGTAAAAAAAAAGTACTTTGTTTGGTTCATTCCTAACGCTGTATATCCGTGAACTTATATGTTCATTTATATATTCTTATCTCTTCGCATGCTTCTAAGTTCACAAAATTAAAATATTGCTGTACGTTTTGAAGCCCTAGTGTTTACGTTTCTTTCTTTGTTGGTTTTTATAATTGGATATCAACCTTGAAAACTACAAAGTTAGCTTAAACAACGAAAGGGAATTATAAACACGATAAATTAAATACTCATGCTTTGAAAGTTTAATAGATATGTTATAAAACATGTAAAGCAGTTTAAACTTATTTTTCATTTGTCGCATTTCACCAGTAAACCCTCATGCAAGTATTCTGAACATTTCATTCCGACTAGTTTATTGTATAGTTAGTTTCAGCTTTGTTGCTCTAATGTTTCTTGTGCTTGGAAACTATATGAAAAAAAAAGCGAAACCCACGATTAAACATCAAGTTAATCAAAGACACTGTTGTTTCCTGAACTTTAAGTCTACTATTTTCCAAATTTTGTCTTGAAATTTTACAACACTTAAATGGGCTATTGAGTTGATTTGTTTTTTTTTATTTTGTGGGAAAAAACGTACATTATGTATTGTTTAGTTTCAGATAGCCTTTCAATAAGTGTAACTTGCTAACTGTTAAAAATATTGCATCACATGTCATTACTTTGATTTTTTATCAATCAGTAGTTTAAATACTAAAATGAAAAGTTTTCAGCTCAGTTCAGAGGAAGAAAACTGTTAAGAAACTGAATGTTTAATGACCTGTATGTTTTGTAGAATGTGATTTATATAGCAGTATTTTATCTCCAGGCAAGTTGGACCATGCTACCACATCTAGCAGTTCTTCCGACATGAGTGACATTATTGAGACCTTGTCATTATGTTCTGAGAGTAGTAGCAGTAGCGCCAGTTTTCTCTGAACATCCAACAGCGCAAGAAGTTTACATCCTCAACTGTTAAACAATGTACGGTATTCAAAATACGGATACCAGTTCAGATCAATTGACCTGTTGATATTGTTTGATAAAACGCAAAATTCATAATGTGGACACTAGTTCCAATCAATTGACTTGTTGGACAGAACGCAATATTCAGAGTAAGGACAACTAGTTCAGATTAGTCGGCATATTGATATTATTGGACAAATATTGTCGTGTCCAAATAACAAGAGAATACGTTTCAAGGAGTAAGCACGAGAAATGTTTCTTGGGAACCCTAAGAAGTCTTTTTTCGCGACAAATTATAATTCTATAAATACTTCTCATTCGCCAAGCTATAGCCGCTCGTGTTTCTTTACAAGCAAGCTTTCATATCACACTAGTTTCGAGCCAGCAGAATGTCCACTGTATTTAACAAATGATGACAAGGAAATAAACTATCTTAAGACACTCTGAAACTGTTGGTTTTGCTGGAAAGGCAAAAATTAGCATCCAGACGTTGATCTAATAGATTCTACTAGGGGTAAAAAATTGGAAAAGAATTCACGTTGCGACATAAAGAAAGATCCAGTTTTTAAAATATCTCGATGACTTTACTGCAAAACTTTATGTGGTCGTTATGCTCAAATATTAAAGACATTTTCATAATCTTTTAATATATGTCTTAACCTAATCATAAATGGTATGCCAATGCTCTAATTGAAAAACGGCTACATATCGTATTGTATTTCCAAACTATTAACATTTTATCTCATAAGACGTCAAATACTTATTATACCTTATCATAATCCCATGAAAATGAACAATATCGTAAATATTAAGTGGAAAATTTCAGATTTTAGTTTTAAGAAACTGATATTAAACCTGACGTTTCGAAAGGCTTTCGTCTTCGATTTGAAAACTAAAAGCGAAAGACTTTCGGAACGTCGTCCTCTACACTTGAGCTACATAAAAAGATTGTATAGCCACTAATATATTTCAACAAGTGTTTCTCTAATAGGCATTTGCCGCCCATTTCACAGTCAGCTCAATCTGAATACTCTTCCTAAGCTATCTATCAAAGAATCATAAAACCTATTCTGTAGTGTTTTCGCTTGAGAACACAACTCTGTGTGGTAGCTTTTTTTAACCAACTTCCTTTGTACCACTATTGAAATTCGTATAATCAAATTCAGTTTAATACAACAGAGTTCTTGAAAAATTCCTAAAGTATGCGATATTATGATTTTTTAATACACCTAACAAAAAATACAATTCTAATCCTCCAGCTAAACTTGGGAAATAAAACAGTTGATATCTTGGTGTAAATTAATCAACTGATGACTTCAGTCAACTATCAACTAAGTAATCTCCTTTCATAAAACTTTTTCGAAAGAAATTGATAAAATGTAGGAGTAACTTGGTAAAGTTGCATTTTCACCAAGGATAATGTAACATATAATGAACATATTGTAAAATGTATGTAGAATGTTGCTAGGTATGTTACTATTACATATTTATCTAACAGTGGAGATACTTCTTTGAAAAGTATAAAAGAACACCAAATATACAAAACATGGTCAAGTGACGTTTATATATTAGTAGATGGAATGAAAACTTGTTCTTAGTTTATCCAACGGACAACAAAACTTTACAACTTGTTCTTAGTTTCTCCAACTGACAACAAAACTTTACCAACTTGTTCTTAGTTTATCCAACTGACAACAAAACTATACCAACTTGTTCTTAGTTTCTCTAGCTGACAACAAAACTTTACCAACTTGTTCTTAGTTTCTCTAGCTGACAACAAAACTTTACCAACTTGTTCTTAGTTTCTCTAGCTGACAACAAAACTTTACCAACTTGTTCTTAGTTTATCCAACTGACAACAAAACTTTACCAACTTGTTCTTAGTTTCTCCAACTGACAACAAAACTATACAAACTTGTTCTTAGTTTATCCAACTGACAACAAAACTTTACCAACTTGTTCTTAGTTTATCCAACTGACAACAAAACTATACAAACTTGTTCTTAGTTTATCCAACTGACAACAAAACTTTACCAACTTGTTCTTAGTTTATCCAACTGACAACAAAACTATACAAACTTGTTCTTAGTTTATCCAACTGACAACAAAACTTTACCATCTTGTTCTTAGTTTATCCAACTGACAACAAAACTATACCAACTTGTTCTTAGTTTATCCAACTGACAACAAAACTTTATCAACTTGTTCTTATTTTCTCCAACTGACAACAAAACTTTACCAACTTGTTCTTAGTTTCTCCAACTGACAACAAAACTTTATCAACTTGTTCTTATTTTCTCCAACTGACAACAAAACTTTGCCAACTTGTTCTTAGTTTCTCCAACTGACAACAAGAATTTACCAAATGACTATTAACATTTACTAACTAAAACAGAAAGTTTATATTTTCTATTTATTGTTATCTTAATAAATTTTCTTGCATTTCACCAGCTGAAATGAAAACGTAATTTATTGATGTCTATGATAACGATGTTTTGTGTACTTCTGTGCGTAAATATGTTGACGTAATTTCCGGACATCCTGTACATGAAATGAATATCTTATACTTTTATTGATGGCAAAAATACCACTGAAAACGACTTTCATTAAATATCATAAAACTTAAAACATTTTGAATACGTGCCTACAAACATTTTAAAACACTATTTATTGAGGGCTGGTTGATGAGATATAACGAACGCGTCACGTGTGAGATTATTGATAACTAATGTTTTTGTTCAAGAGGTAATGTAAATATGAAACTGGCTTTTGACTAAATATATTTTACAGCAAAATGAATTGATAACTTGTACTAAGTTATATTATGGGCCTGTTTGGTATCTGCCTTGTATGATAAATTCAGTAAAATGTGTTACAAGTATCGAAATGTTTAGTAAAACTTCATTTTATATATGTTTACTGGAATTTGGACTTCACAAATCAAACACCAGTGTTTGTTTTTTAATCTATTTTATTTTAATTTTTCGTCAATTCATAATATTGTTTTTTCACCTAAGCCAAGGCTTGTCTTATTATTGATGTGAAACAAAAACTTAAATTCAAATATTTTTATACATCTCAGTGATTTTTGTACTTTGTCTCTATCACATAATCATTTTGTGGCGAATTAGTGAAATGTCACTGTGTACATTTGACCAGTTGCTTTTCGAAACATGTTTTATGTACAGAAATTTCTGCATTTTAGCTGGTTCGTAAATAAAGAAATAGAAGTGAATATAAGTATATGTATATATATATATATATATTTACAGAGTATCCACACAAGTTATGATACATTGTGTTCGTCCGTAACTTCCGAACGTGACACACACTTATCACATTTTGATGTGAAACGCCACACACATACAATGGACTCATCACTGAAAGACGAACAGATGTTTAGACGTTTAAGCGATTCAGATTCTAGAAATCGTAGATTTCACCGATCGATGTAAATCAATGTAACGTCTTTATTAGCACTGTATATGGGTTATTGACTCTGGCTTTGTGTACTTGAAGAACACTTGTGCCTTCCTGTTCGCTTTCCAGGTTATTTCCAAATATAATTTTCACACAGCGCCATCTGCCTTCCTCGCTGAGAATTTCAATGCTGCTACGAACATTAGTATACGCGTTAACACTCTTTTGTTGTTCGTTCAGAAATTCTAGGCGACCACAATGTTTCAAAAAATCAACGGATATCATACTTATAGATACGTATTAAATAATGTTGTTTTTGAGCCGTAGTAAAGTTATATTTGAGCCGCAATAGAATACAGATTTAAGTTGGGAAAAATGTTGTTGTTGTATCATGGATAAGTATGAAGTAAAGTTTGTAAAATGTCATCTGTTGAGAGTTTTGTGGTTTTTGTAGGTAGTTTAGGTGTGATTTAAAGTCTCAATCATGTCCGCATTCGTACAGCTGTACACTAATATAAATATGTATGTATGCACACACATATACATATTTGCGTGTGTAGAAAATTACAAAATCACGTTGTTTTACTAAAAACACACCAATCACAAATTTCGCATTAATTCGTTGTGAATCTTTTTGGAGATGTATAAATACAGAGTGTCTAGCAATGTAGTTTATTTTAAACCAATAAACCATGGCTTTTTGGGGGCAAAAAAAAAAGAACACAAGGCTTGTTTTCAGTTAAGTTTGTTTTTTTGTAATTAAGCACAAAGCT